TTGGCTTATCGACGACGTCAACGCTGGCGCGCGCCCCCGCAATTGAGTTTCCCGCCTTTTCGTCTACTCTGGCTGGTCCGGTCGGTACGGAGTCTGGACTACTACTCTACTCGTACATGGTAGTTATATGCAGTGCGTGGGGCCTTTCCGTCTGGTTGATGACGAGCCAAACATCGAGGACCATGGCGCCGCAGCAGGCGACAAGAGTAGGTTACTCCGTGAATCGCATTGGGAAACGCAAAGTGATTGTGCGGGACAGTGCGAACACGGTTCAAGTGTGACAGAAATTTGGTACATGTACAAAGTCCTTTTGGTCCGGCCGCGCTCGCTCAGCGCAGGGTTGAATTGCGTTATGAGGTGATTTGTTGATTTGTCGATGAACTCCCCCGGCTCGTCTGTGTCTGGGCGAAACTCATTCTCGTGCCATGTTGCATCATCGCCGCGACCATGACGCGCCGGGGTGAGGCAACGGAGGCGCCGTCAAGGTTGGCCCTCGCCTTGACTGCTGTGCTGCTTCGCACATAAGCGTTCCCCCTCCTTTCCCTTCGCGTTCTGCTTCCGGCGAGACGCTCCTCGTCGCGGCGCCAATGGGGTTGCTTATTTCGCGGAAGGGGGGTTGGTTGTCAACAACTGGCTGCCCCTTCGCCCTGCTGAATCCCATTAATTCAAATCAGGAGCTCAGCATGTGCCAACGCAGAGCAGCAAAACCCAACAAGTGCGCCTTCGTGCAAGTGCTGTACGGAGTAGTCCGTACAGTACAGTACGTTGCCTCCGGGCTCTACGACACTACAGTGCTCTCGTACTCATTCATGCTCGCCGCTCCTGGCTACCTGTGCTGCTGTCTGGTCCCGGGGTTTGACATCCGTCCGGGCACGCACGCCCCCCTCCCCAACCATTGACACCCACCACCGCAGATTAATATAACGAAACCAACGGAACCCTGCGCTACTTTTGCAATGGCTGCTGCTCCCCTCGACGCTCCCAGGAGTGGCCAAAAAACAAATTGACAACCCTTGTATGTGTCCGGCGGCGACCCGTGTTTCGTTTGCCCAGCGACACGGCCGGCCTTTAATGAGACGATACGATATTGCGCCGTTTGCTTGTTTGCCTCGTCGTCAATTACCACGCCAAAAGACATGGAACCCTCTCAACTACGTAATCGAAACCCGCTCGGCTGCGCCCCCAATCTAGCGACACGACATGACTCCGAGTGAAAGGTTCTGTGCTGTGCTGTACATACGAGCGCTACGAACACGGAGGGAGGAATGCGAACAAGGTAGGGTAGACTCGGTTGCGACGACAGTTGTCGGATCAGTGAAATCTTTGCCTTTCCGAGACGGATCTGCCGCGGCGCGCTTGGGCTGCCCGAAACGTCCAAGCTCCCTCCTGCCGAGGCAGAGCGTCGCATTAAGAAAGGCGAAAGAGAAAATGCACTCGCACCGGGAGGGTGCCCGGTCGAGTTGAGTTGTCGCCGGGGCCTCGGGCACCACCACCGCCACCACCACGAGCCAGGTGATCAAGGCTTTGTTCATCTCCGGCCGTGTGTGCTCACTTCTACCTACCTCGCACTCATTTAGCTGAGCGCTGCCATGTGCCGTACATATTGGAGCGGCGCAAGTATTACTGAACTGTAGAGTGCCAAGGGAGCGCATCGCAGAGAGAAAAAGCCAGATAGACCGGGCCCGGCACAAGTCATATGCACGCTCGCATGGTCGCCGGCGTCAACTGCGCCTGCATACATATAGGGTGTGACCAGGGGGGGTGGTCGAGAACCCCGGTCGAGGTCGGCCGGGCACTGCTCCAGGCTGTGTCACTGGTCAGGCAACACAATGCCCGTCGTGCGAGCCCAGCGTTCCAACGGCGACGAAGCATTCAGTACAGTAATCAAGGGCAAAGAGAAGAAGCTTGATGGAATCAATCAATTGACGCGCGAGTGGCAGGGCGAGGAAGAGAGGGAAAAAAAAAAAAAAACTTGCTCGGCCCGGGGGGGGGGGGGGGGGGGGGGGGGGGGGGCCACAACTGCTTACGCCGCGGGCGTGGGTGAGTCGACAGCCCGTAACCTGCACGCCCGTTTCGGCTTGCACAACAGCGTGGCAAGAATACAGTACAGCAGCAACGAGAGAAACATGATATTGCCTTGCCAGATAATATTCCTAGGCAACGGACGTATACGTACGTATGCAACCTCGCCTTGGACGACGGCCGTGGCGTTGGGCGAATCACCGCCGGGCCAGGTTACATGCCGGCCCTGCTGGTCAACCCCCCGGCTCGGCGCGGCATGCGTCCAGTCGATGGCGAAAGGAGCCGGCGCAATTGAGCCATAGAGTGAACATGTCGAGTACAGTACAGTACATAAGTACTTACTGTATGTAAGGAATGAGTGATAAAGAGAGACAACAAAAAAAAAAGGCAAAACAACAGCACAAATCGCCGCCAGCGAATGGCACGACGTGTGGCGACGGTGTGGCAGGCACACACGCAAGGAAGGGAGACGAAACTTGCGAGGCAGAGCCAACAGCAGGGCCCTGTGAGTGAGATGTGAGCGCATGTAACGAGTCGGGCGGGCTGTGATGATGGGCTGCATGGAGTTGCTTTCGCGTGCGCACTTTTGTCTGGCCAGACACGCACGTGTGATCACCTCTACTGCCCAGTGCTGTGCTACTGTGCTCTGCTATTCCGTTGGGCTGCTGCTGCTCGTCTGCGTTTACTGACTTGAATGCCCTGTACGAAGTACTGTAGTTGCTGTACGCTCCCGGTTTGCTTGTGCCGGTGCTGTTGATGAGTCGATGAGTGAGATATGTGCATACAGCACCCCCGTTGTGTGCTGAGGAGTTGCGCGCGCGCGCGTCTTACGGCTCAGCAACGCCACAACTGCCGTGCCGTTGATTGTTTGCCAGCCCATGCGCCGTCATCAATCTCAGCTTTACCCGGATCTTACATGAGCAACAAGGCTCCTTTGTGTTTGTCGACAACATTACATTACAGTACAGTACATTGTCACCAGTATTGACCAGGGCGAGCTCAACCACCACCACCACCACGCCCCCCTCTGCCCCTTCCCCGTCCCCTTCCCCTGCCTCGCCCTCGCCCGCCGCCGCCGCCGCCTCCCCGTCCGCTCTTCTTGCCGCCCCTGCCGCCCTTGCCGTCGAAGCGCTCAAAGAGCGTCTCCTCGCCAAACGCCGCCTCGCCGAAGCGCATGAAGTTGACGAGCCCGCAGTCCACCACCGCCACCAGCACGTTGCGGTACCCGTGCTTGAGCCGCTGGTGCAGCCGGCCCGGCGCGCGCATCGGCTCCGGCGGCGGGCTCCACGGCGTCGACCCCAGCAGCGCGTCGACCTGCTCCAGCGTCGGCACTCCGGACGCGGCCGTGTCGGCGACGGCGATGCGGAAGTCGGGCGCCGGCGGGCTCTTCTTGGAGAAGGGCGCGCCGCCCGGCTTCCACACGTGGTAGTGCACCCGGAACGGCTCCTGCGTGTCGCGCCGCTCCGAGGCGGGCCGTGCCGCCGTCGGCTTGTGTCGCGGGAGGAGCGCCAGCTGCTGGTAGATGGGACCGTAGGAGCGGTACAGGCCCGGAGCGACGAGTGGGCCAAAGGGTTCCCGCCTCGGCTTGCGCGGCCAGCTTGGCACAAACGAAAAGAGCCACTGCCAGAGGCTCTGTCTCGACGAGCCGTCATGTGCCTCTGCCTCGTCGCCGGTCTCGGGCTGCCCGTCCTGTGGCGCCCGCAGAATGTGAAAGCCTGCGCGCTTGAGATGTGTGTATACCTGGTATTTTGCGAGCGTCGTCTTCCCCCTTTCGCCGTCGTAGCCGATGAGTAGCGAGTACGCCGCTTCCACGCTCAGCGGCAGCCCGACGTCGTAATTGTCGTGACCATAGCCCGGTGACGGCATCTCGCCCGTGGGGAGTAAATCCGGGAGTGGCAGGTCGGGCCACCACAGGTCGACGGTGCCACGCTCGACGAGGTAGAGCGCCTCCTCGGGCAGCAGCCACAGGCGGCCGACGCCAGGCTGGTCCTTGCTGCCGGGTACAGTCCGCCCGATGTCCTTCATCCAGCTGCCCTTTTCGTGCTCCATGACGACGACGCGGTCTGACAGCCAGGCATCGTGTTGCGGCTGGCTCTGCAGCTCTCGCCCAGACGTGTCGGCCGAGGGAGCCGGCGGTAGTGGTGGAGGAACGGCGTCGACGGTCCACCAGTCTGGGAAGTACCATGCGCGGATCCACGCGTCGGAGCGATGTGTTCGTGTGTAGCCGAGAACCTCCTCCATGGCACTCCGGCTGGCCTCGAGCGTGCCGTCCTGCGCGCGTGTGCCGTGTGACTCAAAGTCCTTCTCGCCCTTGCGAATCACCTTGCTGGAGACGCCCTTCTTCTCGAACATGGCGGCGAAGAGCTTGTAATCGGGCAGACCATCGTCCTCCATACCATCCTCGTCCTCAGGATTGCGCGCGGCACCTGTAGCAGCGGGGTGCGCTGCAGGCGCGCCCGCCGCCTGCAGGGGATTGTCGTCGTCGTCGAACGGCATCCTTGCCGCTATCTGGGTTGCCTCTTGAGTTTGGATGAAGAAACGGAAGTGCCAAGTGATGTCCTATGTGGTTTGATGGTCCAGGCGTTCGTGTGGGCTCGCGATGTTTTGATGATGGTGACAGTCGCGAGAAACGTGAGTGAGGTGTCAAACAAGACTGGAGCCGGCTAGAGATGACCTCAAAGGAAGTTAGCTTTGCGTCGCAGACAACCTCCAGCGGTGGCAGAACTCTAAATACCCTCATGGAGTGTGATGAAACTTGACATACTTGGACAACCATCAAGACCACATTGTAACGCCCAACGCGGCTCCCAGCAGTCAACAAGTTGATTTATGAACAGTCCAAGTTTCTGGGATCTCTCTCACGCTTTTCCGCGAGCCAATGGCCCCACCAGCCGGGGTTGTTGGTGCCACCAGCCGTCTTGGCCCCCCTTGCGCCACCAATATAGTAGATAAATCCGCAAAAAAATCACTCAAATTCTGGGAGTCTGGCCGAGCGGTTAAGGCGCTGGTTTTAGGCTTACGTAAGCGATCACCAGTGGGGTTGCCCGCGCAGGTTCGAATCCTGCGGCTCTCACGCGTTGAAGTTGAATTCTTTTTGGCATCGCGATGCGCAGTTTTGGTGGTGTCGCTATTCGCAGATGCACCAGTCCCTATTTGGGAATGTGGGTCGGGCCGCAGAAGCGGGGCCGCACTCTTTTTTGGGCCCAATCCCAGGCCGCCCTGCCCATTTTACAGTGCACCAGTTCAGCACGCTCTGGCGTGCTGAATTCCTCCATTCCTCCAGCACCATGGCACGCAGGCAATCAATCCGCAGGCACTTGATCCATCACCCGCAGGAGACAGCACGCCGCCCAAGGCACGGCACGACATCTTGACGGAGTTCTCACACGACGGAAAGTGAGACTCAATGATCAATATCAAGAGCACAGCAAGAAGACGAAGCATCGTGAGAAGAAGCGAAGCCGATCAATGTACCTCGTAGTCGTGACCGCTGTGGCTGCGCAACGGCGGCGTGGGTGCGTGGGGAAAGATGGCCTACAGGCTGATAGCCGGGTGCGGCAAAGAGAATCCATAAAGTCAGACAGATTGGAACCTGGTACTACTACTCCAGCGTCGGCGATGCAATTGTGATAACCTGATTCAATTGACATGCTTTCCTGCATCACGTACGTCCCTGCCAGGCCGGCCCCCCTGCCATGGCGGTCGACATTGGGAGGCCCGCGCTACCGAGCAGTGGGTGACACCCATCCGGAAGTTGTGCGAATAGAGTTTTTCGTCTTTGCGAATAGCACTGTGCCCGGGCAAGGCCATCGCAGGCCCTCGCATCGCGATGCCAAAAAGAATTGAACTTCAACGCGTGAGAGCCGCAGGATTCGAACCTGCGCGGGCAACCCCACTGGTGATCGCTGTTCACGACCTAAAAACAACGTAGCACTGACAAACCCATGATGCAAGAAGCGGATTCAGGCCGCCGCAATTGAGAATGTCGCCGAAGTGGGCACGCCGCTCCGGCGGCCCGCCGGAGCGCGCGCAATAGCGGCGAGCTTCACAAGAGTGCCTACTACTTGTTTTACGCATGGCAGTGCTTTATGGACTCGGCTACGAGTAGTATATATTTTTTTTTTTTTTTCAGCGCGTGTTTCCCTTGGGTCGTCCCAGCCTTCCCCGAAACACGCCTTGAGCTGAAGCGCGCAGCTAGTCTGCAGCGACGGTATGGCATGTTGACGATGAGGATGTCCTTGAGCATTTTGGATAAGCCGTTCTGTTCACGAAGAGCAGGAATGGTGGGAACAGCAGGAACGATGGTAATAGCGGGAGCGACGGTAATGGTAGGAACGACGGCAAAAGTAGGAATGGTGGTAGTAGCAGGAACGACAGTAATGACAAGAACGACAGGAACTGCAGGAATGACGGTAAGAGTAGGAACGATAGGAACAGGAGGAACTACGGTAATGGCAGGAACGACGGGAACAGTAGGAACGGTAGCAAATTGTTCATCAGATGTACTGAACATGCATCAGCGAATACCACCCATTGTCATGGCTTCTTGAACATGGTGGCCCACGTCTCGTACTGTCCGCCCTGCATCTCTTGCCCAACCGGCTAGATAGGCGAGAATGTTCGACATCCGTGGGCCGCAAGATTCCAACTTAGCCGGGTTTTCTGCTACGGTGAGGCGGGCGGGTTGCTGAGCAGAGTCCGGTCACGCCAGCTATGTGATTCACTCCCGACACCCGTTCAACGCGCCCAACCAAGTGTTCGGATGAAGACAATAATTCCCACGTAACAAAGAAGGTGCTCACCTAAGGCATCAAGGTTTCCTTGGGGTCATTCTCGCTCCTTAAATCTCGTCGACACTCAGTCGCCAGCTGCCCTACCCTCCTCTTCCTTCCACCGCCGCATCGTCGCCGGCTTCGGCCGCGACCTGTCCTTCTTTCTTTGCTGGGCGGACGCTGGCGTCCGCCCGGATATATTGATACTCGGCAAAGAGCACACAAGAAAATCGTCGGCTACGATTACGATTTGACAATCGCGGAGCAATCGCACGCCTGCCAAAGTGCAAAACGCGTCACCGGGTGGCAGTGCTTCCCGATGGCGTTGAATTTTTGGATGAGACCTTGAAATAGACTCCGACGTTCCTCTCAGGGGTATTCCCTTTTCAGCCACCTTGGAGCCTTTCCCGCAAATCTGACGCATCCTTCGAATTCGATTTCTCTTACCCTTCCCGCTCCTGGTTGCTTTCCCCTGCCTCGACCGTTTCCCCTGCCTTCTTCACCTCAACTGCCCCCGGGGCGCACCCGGAACCGTCTTGTCTCCGACAAACCATTCGCTGCAACCTGGGAATGCCCTGATGAACACCTTCAAACTGGAGCCGAGTAAGCCTCCGCATAATATCGCCTTCCTGTTGCTCGCTTCGACATCGAAATGGGCTTTTCCACCTCAACGCTCTCGACAACTCGATCATTCTAGGCTTGGGCTTGGGCCTGTTTTCCGCACACTGTCTCATCAGAACAGTCGGCTGCCGCTCGATGATTGACGCCCCCGCCGCTGCCTCGTCGAGTCGTCTCGTGGTCTCGGTGACCTCGTCGATGCTGTATCAAGGCTCGTCCATTGCCGGAGTACTCTTCCGGTCCCAACGACTAAATCCTCGGCACCGACTCGAAAATACGACTCCGCTGCGTTCGATTAGGACATGACTGGTCTCGATGACATCAGAGAAGGATGTTCCGGCAAAGGTTGGCGACAACATTCAGCGCAATGACCGTGCGCATGAAGACGATGGTGGCTTCTCTGGTTTTCTATCGAACGATCGTCCCGCATCAATTGGCCCATGCGGTGTTGATTTGCCACGGCCTGACAGCAGAATGTTGACGTGTTCGAGGACATGGCAGAACAACTTTGGGCCTCGGTCGATGAGTTGTCCAGAGACCTTGCTGACAAGACCGGCATTCAAGGTGCAGATCGGAGACTTGTCGAAATCGACCAAGTCAGGCATGCGCCCGGTAGAGACTACCAGGGATGTCGTTCACAGCCTTGTCGACATGCTGCACGCCGCCATAGAACAAGAGACGTCTTGTTGGAAAGCCACTCTCATGTAAACCCTTTCCGACTGTTACGGGCGCAGCGACTAGACAGAGGTCGGCGAAAACTTTCACATACACAGATCTAAAATACCCGTGCAGGTTCCTGTCGCTGGGGACGCGTTCGCGCCATTTGGAACATCGAGGTTTCAGAGTTTCCAGAGTCAGGTTACAACTGCGTCCGTCCCCAAAAAGATGCTCCCCCTCGTTGCCCATGAGTGTCTGTGCCGTCGTTGAGACATCGTTGCCAGCTTTGGACAATGGCATGGTGAGCAGGCCATTAGACCCCTCAGACCTAGTGCATCTGGAACGCTCTGTCGCTTACCAGCTCAGCAACCTATCCAGCGGCCAAGATCTCGGCAAGCTCTCAGCCGTCAGCTCCTCCACGCCCCCAAGACAGGAGCTATCATGGTGACCGGCTTCCCGACCAAGGCTACCACCGCTGGTTCGGTATGTTGAGCCAGATGACGAGCCAATTCCGGCGACGAATGTTAACGCCGGATAGCAACGCTCTAGCCAATCCCCTCATCGACGGACGACGCAGGCACAACTGGCCATTCAATCGCGACAGCTTCATTGACACATTTACGACGACAAGCTCTCCTCTTCACGCAAATCGGAATGGGCTCATAGCCTTCATCAGTACTGTCAATGACTGTGCCAATGGCCGTGACGGACTCTAACCACCTACCCGCGAGTGCAATGGCGGCAAGATTCGCAAGAGTACCTACCTGCTTCTCCTGTTGCATACGGCGGTGCTCGCCTGTTTCGCATCTCTTCCATTTGACACGTTTCCATTGGGCCTTCAATCTTCCCCAAAACACGCCGTTTGGTGCACGTCGGCACGCAGGTTGCAGAAACGCAAGCACATGGGGAAAGCAAAGGAGGCATGCCGCGCGGCTAGCGCTTAGGAACCAAAGACAGCCTAGAGTACGACAGCAAATGCAGACGGCATGGGGCCAATTCCCTGCTTGACATTTGTCTTCAGGCTTTTCGTCCCCGAACATGCATGCTCGGTGCCAGCCTCAAGGACTCCCGGTCCTTTCTACCAGGTCGTTGGGCAGGTAATTATGCAGTGGTCTTTCGGTCGCAAAGCGCATTAGTGGTCAACTCAAGGGTGAGAACAGAGGCGAAGGCTAGATATTTGTCGGAAGAGCATCTTCCTCAGGGCTGCTAGACGGGCTCCCCAAATAACACCAGCATTTCGTGGGTCTTGCATTCCATGTCACTTATTGTGCGATGGCCAAGCACAATCGTAGCCGACGTCCCTTTTGCTTGACTGTTTCAATTTATTCAGACCCTGTCGTGATAATGAGGATGGCCGTCGCAGAGGTCGCAGCCCGCGACTCTAGACGACGAGACATCAGTGAACGTGAGGTACGGGGTTACGCGGCCCTGGTGAAGGGGGGGCTCCGTGAAACCCTTGACGATGAAGCGGTGTGCAATAACAGACGAAATTTCACCGAAGGGGCCTCGCTGCCTGAGGCGCACCTCTGAACGGTTGCCTGATGGCTGTGCTGTTGCCTGGTGGCCGTGCCACCTGCCAACAGATGCGCGCAGCTGCCACTTCCATTGGTTTCTCTCACTCTCGGTGCTGGGCTCCACCTCGTCCATCGTCTTCTGCCCCTGGTCCGCCCCCGGTCCGCCTTCTCTTTCTTCCTCGTTTTTCTGGCATCGCGGCTAAGGCTTCGGCCTGGCCCTTTCTCTTTTCTGCTCCCCGTCGCTTCGTACGCTGGCGCTGGCTTCGACCACGCCTAGATTTCTCTTCTGACGACTCTCGTTCTACCCATCGACGCTGATTTCGGCTAAGGCTTCGGTCTGGCCTGTTCTCTGTTCTGCTCCTCGCCGCTTCGTACGCTGGTGCTGGCTTCGGCCACACCAAGATTTCTCTTCTGACGTCTGTCATTCTGCCTACCGGTGCTGGCTTCGGCCACACCAAGATTTCTCTCCCGTCGATTCGCCTTTTCATCATGTCTTCCGAGAAGAACAACAC